AGATTAGATCTATTTGTTGTTTTTTGTTCTTTATGTGTACTTTCCAGTTGAGTTTCCTATCTAAGTGAATGCCGAGATACTTTATTGATTCTTTGGACGGAATAATTTCATCGTTGAGTACAACTGCTGGGCAAGTTTGGGTGCGAAGCGTGAAAGTTATATGGACTGATTTTGTGCTATTTACTTCTATCCTCCACAACGAAAACCATTTCTCAGCTAAGCTGAGATGGTGCTGAAGACTGTTGGAAGCTGCAGTCGGATCTTTGTTTGTGGCGATGATGCACGTATCATCAGCAAATGTGGCTAAACTCGTGTCAGTTGAAGTTGGAAAATCAGCTGTAAAAATTAAAAATAGTGTTGGGGCGAGGACACTCCCTTGAGGCACTCCAGAATTAATTTCGGTAATATTTGAGTCCGTATCGGCGATGCTGACAAAAAAGTTTCTATTTTGTAAATAGGATTTTATTAATAGGAATAAAGAATCTGGTAAACATCTTTTAACTTTATACATTAATCCGGTATGCCATACTTTGTCAAATGCCTGCTTGAGATCCAAAAAAGCCGCAGAACAGTACTCTTTATTATGCAGCGCATTGTTAATTACGTTTATTATTCTGTGAACTTGCTCAATTGTTGAATGTTTGTCGCGAAACCCAAATTGATGGTTCGGAATAAAACTTTGTTCTTGTAGGATTATTTTAATCCGTTGAAGAATTAGCTTTTCAAATATTTTCGATATGCAAGACAATAAACTTATCGGCCGGTAGGAAGATAATAGATAAGGGTCTTTACCTGGTTTCACTATAAGGATTATTTTAGCTCTTTTCCAAGACTGCGGAAAAGTTTTCATTCTCAGTATAGAGTTATATATTATTGTGAGCATTCTAATAGCTTTTCTTGGAAGTTCTTTAAGCATTTTAATAGAAATCCGGTCTGGTCCAGGTGATTTTCTAGAATTTGCTTTTGCAATTTCTTGGGTTACTTCAGCCGCAGTAAAACGATTAACATCATGAGTCACTAGCGACGGTGAATCCTGAAGAAAATCATAAATGAATTGTTCATCATTAGAGTTGCATTTACGTGAAAATGGCTGAAATGTGAGGCGCAGGTGTTCGGCGAATGCATTAGTTTTTTCTTCTGGACTTCTTGCCCATGAACCGTCTGTTTTTCTTAAAGGAGGAATTGGTACAATTGGTCTTTTCAATTTTTTGGTTGCTTTCCAAAGAGAATAATTTGTTTCACTACTTGCAGAAAGATTATGTAAGTAGTTTTCAAAAGAAACATTTTTATAATTTATTATTAAATTTTTCAGGTCTCTGCATGCACTGTTAAATTTTCTTTTATCTTCCGGTGATCTAGTTATTTGCCAAATTCTTCTTAATTTCCTTTTCTGTGCAATGATTTTTTTAATATCTATGGGCACAGAGTGACTGTGATTGTGATTTAGAATAGGAGTCGATATTTTAGCTGCTGCAATTAATGTATTTGTGAAGTTGTTGATACCGATATTCAAATCATTCTCACTTTTTAATGGAATATTACAATTAATGGTGTCTTCGATGTATTCTTGGAAAAGAAGCCAATCGGTAAATTTGTTTGTAAGCGAACTCATGACTTTGGTTGGAGTATTAGTGGAGTATTTAAGAATTACTGGTGAATGATCAGAACTGAGATCCAGACTTGAATTTATTTCAACACTCTCGTTTTTAATATTTTTGGCTACAAAAAAATCGAGGAGGTCTGGAATTTTGTTCAAATCAGTTGGCCAGTATGTGGGCTCACCCGTAGAAAATGTCCGAAGATTATTATTATTTATTGTATTATACAATTGACGGCCTCTAGGTGTTATTAGTCTAGATCCCCAAAATGTGTGCTTTGCGTTATAATCACCTCCCGCAATAAACAAATTTCCAAGGCTGGTAAAAAAAGTTGTAAACTGATTTTCAGTAATAATGTGCCTTGGCGGACAATAGATTGCCGATACTGTAATTTTGTGAGTCATTAGGTCAATTGAAACATTTGTCGATTGTATGTAGTCAGTATAAAAAGGTTCTGTCTCGTAATGTCTTATGTTTGACTTTATGATAATGGCAGTGCCACCGTGAGGTCTGTCGTCCGGGTGATTTGTGGTATATGTGTGATAATTAGGAAAACGAATATTGTGATTTGTCTCGGTAAAATGCGTCTCGGAAATTAGCATAATGTCTACGTCATTGGTAGTTAAAAATTGTTTGAGTTCATGGACATGATTGCTCAAGCCGTTCGAGTTCCATATGCAAATTGTTAGTTGCATAGACATAATTATTTTTTATTAGATAAAATTGTTGTTAGTAAATTAAGCATTATGCCCATTTGTTCTGTCAATATTTTAATCATGTTTTTAAGTTCTGTTAAGTCATTAGATTTATTGTTAGTATTGTTTTCAGAGTTACTATTGTTTATTGAGTTCGTTGAGTCAGTAGGTAAAGTTGTGTTGTTTCTAGTAATATTGGAGTAAGTTACGCCCGGTCTTAAAGTAGCATTTGGTTTTATATTTTGCACATTACTTGTTTTCTGACGTAATGAAGTGTTTTTTTTTTCAATATATTCTTTATAGACGTGACAGCCTTTATAGTTAGCAGGGTGATTTTCATTACAAAGGACACACTTCACTTGGTCGACCTTTTTTTCCCACTTGCATTTTTCTGTCAAGTGATCTTGAGCGCATTTAACGCATCTGGGGGTGCGGTGGCAATAATTTCTGGTATGACCATACCTTTGGCAGCGAGTGCACTGAACAATTTCTCTAGAGAACCTCTTTGCCTCTATTTCCACTTTAGTTTTATATAAAAAATCAATTTTATAAAAATCTTTATTATTAGGCTGTTGTTCAAGCTCAATTAAAAACATGTTCAGAGGGAATTTTGAGATTCTGCTTTTAATGTTCTCAATACGAACGACTTTGTGACCTAACTGTTGTATTTCATTTTTGAGCATATCTGTATCCGTGCTGAAATGTAGGTTTTTAACCACTATTTTGAACGTTCTTTTACATTTCTCCTGGAAAGAATGCATTTGAGTACCCCTCTCTTTCAGAAGTTTGAGAATTTTATTGTAAAGTTTAGCATTATCAAGATTAACTCTAACCCTAGTTTCGTCAATAACTTTTATTTGATAAAGATTTTTTGCTTCACATTCTAAGAGTTGAGCTAATGGTTTGATATCACGTACCTCATGTATAAAAATTGGCGGCGGTCTGTTAACTGGGCTGCATTTATCACTCGAGTCTTCGGTATTAGGATTAGCTAAAACTTCATATATATTGCTTGTGGGAGTTGGGTTTAGCCAGTAGTTCGAATTTGAAGATGTTTTTTTGCATGTTGATTCTTCATTTAAATTTCTTTTGAATTTTTTGTTTCTTACTTCAAACCATTCTGAATCCTTACTGGTGGTTGCTTCTTGATTAAATTCATTTAGGGAAATTGAGTCATTTTTCTGATGTAAAGAATCTTCTTCAACAATATCTGTATTAGACCTCTTATACTTGTTAGCACTCGTATAGACCTTTTTCGGTTTGACTGGGGAGCATTCTAAATCCATCTGATCGGTATCCGTATTTAAAATTTTTGACATTTTCAAGTAAAAGTTATTAATTCCCCCGTAGGGGAGTATTTCTCTATTACGTACTCACACAGGAATGTTTCTATTCAAATTTTTAGTCCAAAATCATAAAATTCCTGCAAGTTATTTGCAAATTTAATAAATTTAATATTTCTCAGTATTATGAATGTCACAATATTTTGTTTGTTTCCTGTCATTGACTTACAATTAGAATTTATGAAAAAAATGTGTAGTTAATTTGAAATTAAATGACTAGTGGGGCGCATGGCATCGTGCCTTAAGGCAAATTGCTGGAACTTCCCGTACCAAAAGTTATTTTTTTTTTAAAAAGATTAACATTTTTGAAAAAAAATTACTTTAAAGTAATAAATTTTTGAGAAACTATAAATTTTTGACAAAAATTTACTTTTTTTGAAAAAAAAAGACTTTTTGAAGAACAATTTATTTTGAAATATTTTGGAAATTCTGAACATTTCCTTCAAAGCAATCGTACTGCCTTAACTGCATAGAGGCGAAAAATCGAAGCGCGTAAGCGCCGCGTCGCCGTCTAACGGACAAACATTGGTACGTAACCCATAGGAATGTAAACAAAATTTGTACTTATTGTTAAAATCTCTATAAAATATCTGATAATTTGATGTGCATATGTCTAATGATCATTTTAGACCGCCAAATGGCATTTTTTATTTACTTTTTTTACTAGATCTCCGAAACCGTTAAACCTGCCTTCATGAAAATTTGATCAGTTCTTCATCTTCATCTTGTTAATACAAGTAAAATGTTTTTTGAATTATTCAAATCGGACGCTCCGTTCTCTTAAAAACTAAGTTACCGTTTTTGGCACTTTTTGTCCCATATCTTCGGAACGGCTAGACCTGCCTTCGCAAAAAACTAATCAGCACGTCTCCTTATCAATACGAATCGAGTGTTTTTTGAATTATTCAAATTGCTTCATCCGTGTACCCGAAATCGTCGACGAAAATTTGTATCCTCACACACACCCACACACATACATCCATTTTTTCTAAGGTATGCCAAAATATTCAGAAACCTTTGAAACGTAAAGATATATAAAAATTTGCATCTTCGATTTTTTGCGATTACTATAACTTGCCCTGCGGGAAGTTAAAAATTGTATTTGTTAAGTAGAAATTGAATAAAAAATAAGAAAAATAGGAATTACAGAATTCGAACCGCTGAATTGTATTAGGAGTAGGATACATATAGATTAAATATGATATAAAAATTGGTATAGAATGTAAATAAATAAAAATGTTGTAGGTGGCTAAATGCTCAGAGTAAGCGAGGACAAATAAAAATTAAAAAAAAGGATAAGTGGCCACGTTGCCGTCAATTTTTTCATTTAATGAATTTAATAAAAAAATATCTTATGTACTAACCTTTGCAAATTATCTATCTGTTTTCTGTATCCTTCTTTGCAACTTGGGTCACTATGGTAACAATCCACACATTCTTTTTTCTTTAAAGATTCGTTTTCGTCTTGCAGTTTTTTCAAGTCAATTTTATATTGAGTCAGTTGTGCTTCCAATTCACTGATACGAGATTCAAATACGATACTAGGTCCTTCCAACTGGATTTTTTTCGATGGTTTTTCTTTTATCTGGACTGTCTGAAGTGAAAAAATTGTATTATTAAGACATCAGAGTAAAGCGGAGCTTAAAGGTCCGCGGGTAAAAAATCCACCACCATTATCTAAGAATCAATTTATGTATATCCCAGTAAACACGCGATGTGATCTTCTATAATATCGACATCGTTATTATAATGCGGTTATCGAATCTACGCCACAAGAGGATTTTAAACTTGCGTGCGCTTGTGTGTGTTACAATACACGCAAAGCTCGCATTGAGTTGTCTCACGAGACATAAACACGCGCTGTCGGGGGTAATGACATCGTTGAATTTCATGTGAGATACATGTCGTGCGCTGGTGTGTGTTAGCACACATGCAAAGCATAATCAATGACGTCACACGGCGTGAAGCAAACGCGTCGTGCGCTGCTTTGTGCGTTGTGTGCCGGTGTGTGTGACCATACAAAGAAAGCTTTACATCAGCGCGCCGTGGCCACTGGTGGAACCGACTGTTTCTTTGACGAAAGCTAACCGCGTACAAAATGGCGCAAAATGTCACGAATTTATCATGCATCAAGTTATATTTTCTTTAGTATAATAATTACATTCGTTTAGTTAAGCAACTTGTTTATGATAATTGTAGAAAAGTGTAGAAAAATGACACTGTAAGTATATCATATATTATTTATATAGATATGTAATTACTTCACGATTTTGAATTCCATTTAGTGCATTATATCCTGGGATGAAGAAACGTTATTTTATGTCGATTTCTTTAGATGACAAAGGAGGTAACCAAATAGCATATCTTACAAAATCTGAGGACAATAATAAGGATCGTTTATCAAGGTTAAAATAATTATTTTACTAAATTAAGACATTAACATATCCATGTGTTCGACATAACCTCACTTCTTAAATCTCTTAAATTAGTCGGTTGAGAAGCGGATCGAGAATGATTGTTTGAATATGTAAGTCACTACAAATATAATAGCTATACAAATATATATAAACAGCAAACACGTATGCCATGTTCATATTTATTTCAGAAGTCGTACAAAATTGGAATGAAACGATGAACAATATACAGATCTTTAGACAGGCTCAAATAATGTATGTTTAGGAGCAACTTGAAGATAATGGAGATTTATCTTCTTAATATGTAAGTTGATTCATATATAGTTGCTGTATATATATTATTTGGTAACAAATACATTATATTTATAATTGTTTTAGAAAACCTCTAAAATTGGGAACAGTATGTCATATATGCATGAACTTGATTGATGTATTGATGTATAATGAACTGAAGATATAATGAATTCAATCAGGTTAAAAAAAATGTATGTGCAAAAGCGACTCGAAGACGATTTAGATTTGTCTCCTGAATATGTAAGTTGCTACACATATGGAGTGGTATATATATTATTAGATTCAATAAAACACATTATGTTTCAAATTGTTTTAGAAAACTTCCAAGAAGTACATCATATATGAATATCCTGTATCCTCGCATTTGATGTATTGAACTGGCGATAGAATGAAATCAGTCAGTGTTAAAAATGTATGTGTAAAAGCGACTTTAAGATGATGGAGATTTGTACACTGAACATGTAGGTAGCTACACATATGGTAGCTGTATATATATATATTATATTATATACAGTAAATCACATTATGTTTGAATTTGTTTTAGAAAACTTCCAAAATTTGGGGCAGTATGTCATATGTGCATAATCTGTATCCTGGCATTTGATGCAATGAACTGGCGATAGAATGAAATAATGAAAAATAGGCAGGCTGTTTGATGTATAAGGAAGTGGCGATAGAATACTTATGCAACACTTCACACTTCACGCCCCAAAAATAGAATTACGTTCATTAGATATACAACAATTTTCATTAAATATACTGTTATTAATATGTTAAGATTGAATAATTTGTAAAAAGTTTTCTAGTATAGTTCATGTTAAAATTTTATAATTTCAAAACTACAATTCTAATTTGTAATATTTAAATATTGTAAAATTTCTTATTATTCACGTAAATAAATGCTTATTCGTACAGAAAAGAATATTAATTGCATTACGTCATCACTTTCAGGTGCTACTACGTCATAACTGAGTCGCCATTTTGTATGACGTCATGACCGAATCGTTTTCATTCGCCAATGACGTCATGACTGGGGTGAACGCCTTACGTCAGACGGTCTTATCATAATAAACAAACATATGTGGGTCAACGTCGATTTTCATGTATCACGAACGCCACGTGCGCCAGAGACCGAACCTCGATAGTTGTTCGATAGTTACATAAATTTGCGGCCGTATCCATTAAATATCGAGGAAAATGAATATGGGAACCGCATGTCACACGACCTAAATAAAATATTGCCACGATGTTGTGGCCATATCGCATGTTTACTGGGATAGTATTTTTAAAATAGAAGGCAAATGATGTGTAACTTGTTATGGCCATAAAACAGGCGAAGCCTATATCACACGAGATAAAAGGCCACATGGTAAAATTTTTACGATGTGTTTACGATGCATGAATTAGGGGTAATGCTACAAAAGTTTCAAATCAATATTATTAATTCATGATTTGTTCAAACTGTTTCTAACCTGTTTCAGATACATTAAAGCAAACCGAAAGTAATTTAATGCTTTCAATTTGGTAAACAAAGTTTGTCATGATATCAAAATAAAAGAGCACAATACTGAATTAGAAATTTAGATTTTATAGTTTTGTAACTTTAACTATATATTATGTAAATGTTGTAAATTCTGAGTTAAAATATGCAATAAACTTAATATAAACTAGCTGTAAGTGGAATTCTGTCTTGAGGCAATTATGGCATCGTGCCTTAAGGCAAATTGCTGGAACTTCCCGTACTGTAACAAAATGTTCGAGGAATACTGAATGTTTTCAAATAGATTATTATAAATATTGTAACATTGTGTAATATTTATAAGAATTATATAAACTGAAGTGCAGAGTTGAAATTATTTGTAATGTACATTATAACTATAGTCAGAATTAAAAATAAATCTGAAATATTTTCGATATACAAAAAACTAAAAAAAAAAAAAAATGGTACAAAATTTTATTTTCCAAAATCAATTATTTTGTTAAGACAGGCAGAAAGTTCTTTGAATCATTTAAATCGGACGCTTAGTTCTCTCAAAAATTGCCATTTTTTACATATTTTGCTCCGTATCTTCAAAATGGCTGGGCCTGCCTTTGCCAAAAACTAATAAACACTTCTCCCAATCATTACTAATTGAATGTTTTTTAGATCATTCAAATCGGGTGCTCCGTTCTCTCAAAATTCGATTTCTATTTTCTGCACTCTTTGCTCCGTATCTCCGAAACGGCTGGACCTGCCTTTGCCAAAAACTAATCAGCTCTTTTCCCTATCAATAGGAATCGAATGTTTTTTGAACCATTCAAATCGGTTGATCCGTGCGCCCTAAAACGTGACTGGAATTTGTATCCATACATACATACATACACACACACCACACACACACACACATACACATACATCCATTTTTTCTGAGGTATGCCAAAACGTTCAGAAACCTTCAAAACGTCGAGAATGTAAAAATTTTCAATTCCGATTTTCGGCCCATTACAATAATTACCCTACGGAAGTTAAAAATGGTTTCTATATTTACAGAAAATTTTATCAAATTTCTAAGTTGCATCAAAGACACTTACACGTTTATTTAATGATTTGGAAACGTTACAATAACGAAACCGTGACGTTTTTACGCAATTTGGAAATGTAACAAAAACAACACGTTTAGTTATCGCGCAACGTAACAGGCCGTTACGTTTTTGAGACAGAAATAGAAACGTCTGTGTGCCTTGTAGGTTATGTTACCGCTATGTTTGACATGTGGTTATAGAGGTTTCATTAGAGTTAACTCTAACGATGGATTTTCGTAACAAAGTTCAATAAGATTGGCTTCATTGAAAGTTGTATGGAGTATTATCTGTGTCAAAAGTGCCCATAGAATATTGTATTTTAAACAGAAGTTTTATTTATCTTATTTGTAATAAATATAAAGAAACAATGAGAAATACTATCTTCTTGCCCCCTGTCTGCAACTTTTTATTGGATAAAATGAATTTGTCTATAATATAAAAAGGACCAAGTGACATCTTGTAGAAAAATAGCAAAAAAAACATATTTCTACAGTTCAATAGTTATTTGTTTAATATTTGTTGTGATGTCGTTAGTACGCTAATTATTCTAGTATATTAATCATTTAAAATATTACCTTGGCATCTGATTCATTAGAATCTTCAGTCTCTGAATCGTGTATATTATCGAAAATGCTACGAATAAATCCATCCTTTTTGCTTTTCATGCAAAGATTCATTTTCGCTTATCACGTCTTTGACTTTACTCAACAGTCCTGATAATTCATCCTAAAATATAAAAAATATATAAGTAAATATGTATTTTTTTCATTTAATCACAAAATTTTAGAAATTTCAATGCTATATTAACAATCTGTAGAAAAAAGACTTTCGATCAAAAGTCAATGTACAATTTTACTTTAATTAGTTAATTGACACTAAGTAAACGATAAGTAATGACTGCATAATTTTTTTTTAAGTAGATTAGCATTTTTATGTATACTAATTTGAAAAATTAAAAACTAATTAGAATTTTCATAACAAAGGGCTTTCAATGCAATTTCCAATTGATATTATAAACATAAATCCATAAGAGTGCGACTATCATTCCCAACTTTAATAAATATTATTAATTCAACAATTTTTCATAGTGGTTCAATATTTTAGGATGTTCGTTAAGACTATGATCTCCACTATCATACGAGGCTTCACCAATAATGTGAAAACCAAATATTCAACCGTTAATTAAGAAGAAACGTCCCGGCCGATCGTTACTAAAAACTAACCAGCACATTTTCCAACTGATACCTTCGAAAGGATCTTGAAATTTTTAAAATCTGTTCAGGATTTTTGGAGAAAACCTGGATGTAATATTTTGCACTTATCTGCTAATTATAAAGTCACCATAGATAAACAAGTATAAAGTCACGGTTTACTTTTAAAAAGCTCCAAAATTAATGGCTTCAAATCTAATGGGTTTTTGAAATAGTGCAGTAATGGCGCAATAGTACTAAAAAAATTCACACACCAATATATATTTTCGGGCGAAATCATAAATTTCTTTTATTGTTTACTTTTAAACATCTCATAAATGGCTTCAAATCAAATCGGTTTTAAGTTTTTAAAATCGGAGCAGTCATGGTGTAATAGTTACTGATAAAATGTCGACAAAAAGTTAAATTTTGGCTCAAATACACACACTCAATACATATTTTCTGGCGAAATCATAAACTTCCTATAATATATTTACCCTGCAATACTGTGATTCCCTCTCTAGTTGTTCAATATATTCCTCTTGTTTCTCAATGAAGGTCATCAGTTCCGGAGGCGCCTTACTGGTATCAGTTGAAAACTTTCCATCTTGAGATGCAGCATCAACTTAAAAAAAATATATGAAAATATCAATCAAAATTTTTAATTGAAACAAAAAACAACTCACTATTTGTAGCAGGGCTGCTGGTTGTGATTTGATTATTCAACGTCGGTCTAAGTATGTTAACATTCTCCTTAGATAAAATAGGATATCTCCTTGAAAGTCGGCTTCCACTAAAAGTCCTGTAAGGATATCTATCGATACCAAGGAAAGATTTATCATCGGTTTCTTCTCCAGAATCAGCAGGAGTGTACTTTGATCTAACAGGACTATAGTTTTCGTTCATCAGATATCTAAGACGAGTCACGGCTTCCCTATAGGCGAGATCCGTGTAATTCGGAGTACGCTTCTTCAGGTAGTCCATTTTTGGTGTCCCGTTTATACTGGATCCATAATAATTGGATGTCTGTTTTCTAAAATAAATTACATTTGTTAGAGTAATGAAATTTAATGCAAATTTATATAAAACATATAATTGTATTAAAATTGATCATTATGTATCTCACACGATATTGTCAATTATATTTGATGAATTTATGAATTTATTATTATCAGTGACAATCAGCAATTAGCTCATATTGCAAACGAAGGTGTCTATTATTTGATCATATAATGTTCCGTATCGAATAAAGCAATTTTATTTAGCGCTTTTTTCTTTAGTCAGTCATCAAAATAACAAAATATAAAATAAATAAATACACTTAAGAAATAATATATATTCTTTTAAAACGTTTAAAGAAAACAGATCAAAATGATTTTCCAAGTAAATATGTAAGTACATTTTTGTTTTTTACCAAATTGTATGAAATCAGCGCAATAACATTAATTTAATATGATTTTTTTTTTAAATATTAAAATAATGTTTACTTAACGTCACAAAAAATATCCGTAAACAGAGTAAACATGCGATGTTATTACAACGTTGTGTCGATATCGCATTTGTGACATATAGAAATAATTCGGGCCGCCACGAAGTCATGCATATAGATATAATGAATAATTATGATTATATTAAGAATTTATTATTATAGCTTAGAAATATGTATTAAAATGTAATTACATACAAAAAAAATCCGATTTGCTAATTTTATGCTGTCTGGACGTTTTAAGACATTATTAATCGTTTGAGACCACATTTGAACAAAAGTATTTTTGAATGTATGGTTGTGTGAGTAAAAAATTCTCAGCCGCCATTGAAAAATATCCTTTGGGAAACGTTTCTGTCGTTTCTTGGCGATTTGAATGCATCCTTGTATGGCAATAACGTTAACAATTGATATAATTAACAATTATAATGTTTGAATTAATGTTGTATGTATTAGTTATTCAATAATGTTAAAATATGCTAAAAATTATAAAAATTAGTAACTTGTTTGAAAAATTCCGAAATAATTGAATAATTTGCAAATATTTCTCAAGTTCTATATAGTTCTATAACAACTCGGTGTACTTACAAATTACTCGTAAATTAATTAATTAACGTAAAATTTTAAATCGATATCTTGAATAGTTTTTGAGTCACAGCCATTTAAAAAGTATATATATAGTATATATAACGATCATTTAATCTTTAAACGCGTTTTTCTCGAAACAGCATTTTCCGAATTTGCTGCAGCGATTACTCAAAAACAAATGATCCGATCATTATCAATTTTTTTACATGTTCTATATATAGTTCTCCGTAAAATGAACTATCGATTTTTTGATCGGATCAAGAATCGAATTTTGGCAGTTCAAAAACGACCAAAATTCTGGGTAAAATTCGAGTTTTTTTTTTTTAAAAACTCCGTCATTTTATCAATGTTTGATTTTTTTCATTCATTTTACAGACAATATTATCTAGTTTAACGATTTTTTTTTTAAATTTCATCCACGCCGGAATCACTGCAGCAGTGAAGGGCCTTTTTTTTGTCGCGCCGTTGGAGATCGACGATAACTTAAAAAATATTTAATTTTTTTCTTCAAAAATTTACTATGTATTCTTAAAACATGTATAAATATATTCCTAAAATTTGGAAATGATTGATAAAGTAGTTTTATATGATTGATAAAGTAGTTTAATATAAATTACCAAAAATCACCTTTTTTAGGCTGTTACACTAATTGTGCCCCTTAAAGATATTTATATTTGAAATACGAAAATTACTTAGTTAACACTATTTATTTAATACTTTACACTTTTATGTATTTGCAACTAGTAAATACATACTTTTAATGAGAATATGTATTTAATCAACAATAACATTATTAAAGATTTTTTGAAAAACATTTATAAACATTAAATAATTATATTGATAAAAAAAATTAAATATAATTAAAGTTATTTATTTGAGTTTGAGCATTTTAGAGTTTTTTTCACCTTAGAATATAAGTATTTTTTACACAATTTGTATATAAAAAAAATCCGAATTGTATTTTACTTTTAGCAACATATTATTATTACAATTTTCTACTTTTGTTTATACCTGTTATTTTATCATTACAATCAAATATTTACCTCCAATCACAATATATAACCATATTTATACAAGATGAGCAATATTCATGAAAAATAATTTCAAAAACTGAAAGAACATTATAATATCATGTCGGTCCATGTTTAATAATAATCGTTGTTTATAAGTTTATAAGTGTTTATAAACACTCATAATAGGGTAAATCGATTACAAACTAAATTACATTCTTTGTTTTGACGCAGTTGCATTGGATGTAACCTAGCGACGGTGTCGAGGCGTAGGCTAATGTTTCAGGCGCATGTTGACCCTTGAACGATTAGGACGATCGCGTTAATTTTACGACCTTGAATGCAGAAATAACCATGATAAAATATTATTATTAACTTTCTGTAGGAACTCTAACTGAACAAATTATTTATTTTCTTAAACCAGGAAAAGCTTATACTCAAAGTGATGTATAAAAAAAGAAGAAGAAGAAGGAGAAGATTAAGAAAAACGTTACGAAAAAGATGTAGAAACGTTTGAAAATTATGACTCCCATGAATAGATTTAGTTACTTTTTTATAATTACCGCCTTTATTTTTATTTTACCGGCTTTATTTATTACAGCCCAAATTCAAAAATATTATTTTGCAAGTGTTCCGAAACAAACAAAATCACAACAGACCCGTGATATAGGGAAACCACGTAAAAAAACGAGTTAAGCACACTACTCGTAGATGGCACTTTTCAAAGTATATCTTAAAACGATGGCTCTGATCAAAAAAGTATTCATGCATTTTTTTGAAGATAATTTTATGCTCTACAATATTGTCTCAAGTAATTTTGCGATAAAACTGACTATTCAGCTAAAAATGGCAAAAGCGTCATTTTTTAACTTCCCGAAGGAGAAGTTTATGTTTTCATAAAAAAATCCGAATTGCTAATTTTATGTTTTCTCGACGTTTCAAGCCATTCTGAATCGAATGAGACCAAATTTGGAAAAAGTATGTGTGTGTGTGTGTGTGTGTGAACAGATTTTTTGCCGTAAATCGACGATTTCTCAAAAACAGCTGGACCGATTTCAAAAATTTAAAATCCATTCGATGTATCTCGATGAGGACTACCGTTTCTAACTTTTGTGCGACGATCGGCCGAGCCGTTTCTTTGTAAATCGCAGAAAAGTGAAAAATTCTTCGTCCACGTTTTAGGCCGCAATTCTGAATCGATTTTGAAAATTCAAAAACTGGTTCGAAACATATTGGTTGGGAATCGACCTGATTAGTTTTTGGTAAAGATCGGCTGGGCCGTTTTCTTGTAATAGAGTGTTAAAAAATTTTTTTTCGACGATTTTCATAATTTTTTTTTGACGGTAGATACCACAATCTTATAGATCATACTAAAATATTACGGTCCTACGACAAATAGTTTAATTTTAAAAAAATGTCAAAGTTTGCAAAAATTAGCGTCGTTTTTTTGACGTTTGTCAAAATTAGAACTTTCATCGACGTTGCTCAAAAATGCTTGAACCGATTGCATAAATTTAAAAGCCAATCGATGTATTTTAATGTGGATTATCTTTTCTCAGTTTTGTGCAGCGATCGGCCGAGCCGTTTTTTTGTAATTTGAAAAGAAGTATTAAACAAATTTTGTCCACATTTAAGCTCATACTTCCGAATCGATTTTAAAAAATCAAAAACTGTTCGAAATATATTATTTGGGAATGGTACTGATTAGTTTTAGGTGAAAATCTACCAAGCAGTTTTCTTGTAATTAACAGTTGAAAAAAAAATTGAAGCCGATTTTTATGGAACTTTTTTTTGGCAATATATGTCATGGTCTTATTGAACTTACTGAAATATTACGGCCTTACGACAAGTAGTTTAATTTTAAAAATTCATCAAAATTTGAGAAAATGAGTAGTTTTTTGATGTTTGTTAAAATTAAAATTAGATGATCTACTTGGTATAACAATAGAGTACTTGGTCTTATTGAACATACTAAACGTTTAACGTCCTACGGAAACTGGTTCAAATATAAAAATTGTTGATTTTTGAAAATTTGCTATTAGAAAATAATCCGAGTTAACGTGTTCGTTCGTTTTAATTATGGGTAATAAATCCACTCGGAATACTTTTAATCACTCATTTAATTGATTTATTTTTTATTGATTAAGTAGATTATTTACACATATCGGGAAGTTCATGTAATTCGCCTCAAGGCTAAATACCAAACCAACTAGTTTACCTTTGACCTTGTGTCATTTTTTTAGCTCGCATCGAATCGGACTTTTGAGATTTCTTTTATAATTGTATTTTAAACAATTTTGTTAAGTTAAAGCCCATTATAATTTATAGTAACCTCGAATGTATAAATTGACCGGGATATATTATAATCGTCCAAAAACCGAAATTAAAAGTTTTTGCATACCTTGCGATTCAAAGGTTTCTGAGCATTTTGACATACCCCAGAAAAAATGGATGTGTGTGTATGTATGAGTCTGTGAATACAATTTTTCGTCGAAGTTTTCGGGACCACCGCTCAACCGATTTGAATGATTCCTGCGTTCAATCCGTAATGATTGGAAAACATGGTTTTTGGCAAAGACAGGTCCAACCGATTCAGTGATAATTTTGGAGAGAACAAAACATCCGATTCGAATGATTAGGTTTTAGGAAAAGTAAAAAAAAAATTTATTTCACCTATTTTATTTCAATTTTTTTTGTTTTTGGGATCGTTCAAGTATTACGTAAGCAGATTTAGTACAATTATGTATCCCCCCCATGCCACTTTGTCAGCAAAAGTAAGCAAAGCTGTCACCAAAGTGTCACCCAAAATAAGAAATCAATTATACAATACTATAATTTATATACAATTATACTATAATCAATTAAGTATGGATACAATTTTTCGGTCACGTTTTCGGGCGCACGGATCAACTGATTTCAATGGTTCAAAAAACATTCGATTCCTATTGATAGGAAGAAGCGTAATCAGTTTTTGGTAACGGCAGGTCCAGCAGTTACGGAGATAAAGAGCAAAGAGTGCAGAAAATAGAAATCGAGTTTTTGAGAGATCGGAGCATCCGATTTGAATGATCTAAAAAGCATTCAAATAGTAATGATTGGGTGAAATGGTTATTAGTTTTTGGCAAAGGCAGGCCCAGCCATTTCGAAGATGCAGAGCTAAATGTGCAAAAAATGGCAATTTTTGAGGGAACTAAGTGTCCGATTTACATGATTCAAAAAATCTTCTGCTTGTTTTATCAGAATTATTGAATTTGGAAAAAAAATTATTGGAAAATTTTTTTTCAAAAATTTTTTTTTCAGAAAAAAATTTTTTGGCGAAAATGATTCAGATTTTATTTTTAATTCTGACTGAAGTTCTAATATACTTTAAACAAATAATTTCAACTTTGCCATTCAGTTTATATAATTCTTATAAATATTAGACAATGTTACAATATTTATAATAATCTATCTGAAAACATTCAATAGTCCTCGAACATTTCGTTACGGTACGGGAAGTTCCAGCAATTTACCTTAAGGCACGATGCCATACACCCCACTTGTTCAAATTTAGACTTGAATTAAAAATAACTTGAAACGTCAAGAAAATATAATATTAGCCAATCAAAGATTTTTGTTAGAACAATTGCTGAAAACAAACTTCTCCTTTGGGAAGTTACAAAATATTTAAATTATTTAAAAAATCGACCGGTCGGCATAAACACAAAACCAAATGACGCGATTTCAAACACACATTTTCTTAACGGTTTTTACATTTCGAAAATCACTCTACAATTTTTTCGGAAATGTAGATACAAAATATTTCTCTACTGCTAACTAGAAAAAACTTCTCCATCTTTTATAGAAAAACTAAATAGAAGTTAAAATTAGGTCTACCTAAATTAACGAAACTAAAAATGCCACAAAAAAGGAAAAAGTGAATGAATATGGTTTTGAAAAAGGAGATAAACTTCATTTTGCAAGTTAATAAATAAGTTGATAATCCTGAATTCAAGACTAAATATTAAAATTATAATATTAAAATAAGTATTGAATTTATACCCTCGCTTTTCAATTCAGGCCATCAAAACATTCCACAAATTTTAAAATTAAAAGCACCATATTTTTGTTAAATTATTATTTTTTGTTAAAATTGGCATTATAAATAATACCATATTCAATTTAATTAATTAAATCATGAAATCTCACGAAAGGATTCTACTTTTTCAATGAACGGTTTAAACCATTCATTGAAAAAGTAGAATCCTTTCGTGAGATTTTTATATAAACAATTGTTTATTCATTTGATATAAAAATATGAAATAAGTAAATAAATTACCTTGATCTGGATTTTTTCGGTTTGCTATCTTTATCATAGAAGTTTGTGCTGAAGCCTCCTCCGCTTAAGACACTTTTTGGTGACCTCAAACTCGAGTAACTTGACCTCAGTGCTCCCAATTTAGGCCTGCTATAAGTGCTTCCATTGGTACTACCCAACTTCATCTTACGAAAAATTTTATGAAACTATTTATCAAAATAATTCTGTTTATTTGAACAATAACAAAGGATGTATAAAAAGATCCGTTTCCTTCGAAGGACTGTTGTGTAATGAAGAAACGCCCACAGAAATGCGCATCAAATTTATAACCTCGGATGTTGGGTAATATTGGTGAGTCGATAGAAAAGTTAGGACTATTTTCCGGTAAGGAAAAGGACATACCTCCTGAAATGTAGTTGTATTGATACAATATCATGTTTACATATTGCAATATAAATTGATGATTATATATAGATTTATTGCAGTAATAATCGATACTTTGATATACAATAAAATTACTTGTATCATATATCCATTTTAGAATTTTATATTTATTAATAATTTACCTTTATCTAAAATATAGCTTTGGCTTCATACTCATACTTACCTATTTAATAATTCATTTAAAACAATATTATTTTTTGTTCTTGCATCACTAAATCTTGCAAAACACAGATTCTCTGTCTCTTAATACAAAGATCTCAATATCATGATCTCATAAATAACAATTTGTCCATGCGATTTTTTCCTACTGTATCTTGACTACTTATTATTTTGCTATTAGGTACTTTAAAAGGTACACTATTAGGTACTTTGATAAAATCAGAAATAAAGTTAATTTTACACAAAAAATGATAAATTGCATTTATGTTACTTAGTTTGATTATCTGTAACCTGTAACTACCCCAGCATAAAGAACTTCAAATTTGATTAAATCTATCAAAATAATATTTTTGAAATGACAATTTAGAGATCTTGAAAAATTTTAATTTTGAACACTTCTTTCACCTACACATAAGTTAATTTGTTTCCTGTCTGAGCAGCAGTTTTTGTCCCTCTTTTATAAAAAAAGTACAAGTATCATACATCAAATAGCAACAATAAACCTCAAATTACTTCATAAATTCATTTACACACAAATCAGTAGCACTCATTGTCAAATATTGCCTTTCATGGACACTTAATGGTTATTAGAAAAGACAACCATTGGGTTGCCTTCTACTGAAAAAAATTTCAAACGCATAGGTAGTCCTAAAAAGCAGAGTAGTCACGCAGAAGAATCATCAATGATTGTGGTTAAAACTAGTGGGGCGCATGGCATCGTGCCTTAAGGCAAATTGCTGGAACTTCTCGTACCAAAAATTATTTTTTTTAAAAAAAGATTAATATTAGAAAAAAAATTAATCTGAAAAAATTAGATTTTTGAGATACTATAAATTTTTGACAAAAATTTACTTTTTTTGAAAAAAAAAGAATTTTTGGAGAAAATTTTATTTTGAAATATTTGGAAATTCAGAACATTTTTTTTCAAAACAATCGTACTGCTTTAACTGCATAGAGACGAAATATCGAAGCGCGTAAGCGCCGCGTCGTCGTCTAACGGATAAACATTGGTACGGAACCCATAGGAATGTGAACAAAATTTATACTTATTGTTAAAATCTCTATGAAATATCTGATAATTTGATGTGCATATGTCTAAGGATCATTTTTAACCGCCAGATGCCATTTTTTTTTACTTTTTTTACTAGATCTCCGAAACCGCTAGACCTGCCTCCATGAAAATTTGATCAGTTCTTTATTTTGTTAATACAAGTAAAATGTTTTTTGAATTATTCAAATAGGACGCTCCGTTCTCTTAAAAACTAAGTTACCGTTTTTGGCACTTTTTGCTCCATATCTTCGGAACGGCTAGACCTGCCTTCGCCAAAAACTAATCAGCACATCACCTTATCAATACGAATCAAATGTTTTTTGAATTATTGAAATCGCTCATCCGTGTTCCCGAAATCGTCGATGAAAATTTGTATCCAAACACACAAACCCGCACACACACACACACACACACACATACATCCATTTTTTCTAAGGTATGCCAAAATGTTCAGAAGGTTTTGAAACGTAAAGATATATAAAAATTTTCATTTTCGATTTTTTGCGATTACTATGACTTACTACGGGAAGTTAAAAAGTGCAATATAAAATCAATGATTAACAGTTATAATAAGATGTGTGGATAAATTTTTTTTAAATATAAACATAATCACTGTATGACACTATTTGAAATCATTAGTTCAATCAATTACAATCATTTAATATAAATTTGTAGAAATCACAGCCTTTTTGTCACATTCTTAGAAGATTGGTTAAATTATAAACATTTTTTATAATATTGTTGTAACAAAAATTGAATCAAAACAAATTATGACTATAAATATTTTGGATTCTCATCTGATATTTTATCTTAAAAAATTCGTAACATATACGGTATAATGCCTTAAGCAAATTGCTAGAACTTCTTGTACCAAACATAATATTTTTAAAAAACCTTTAAATTTTTTTGAAAACTTTGAAAAAATTAGATTTTTGCGAATTATGAAATTTTTGAAATAAATTGAAATTTTTCATATTACAATTTTTTTTTGAAAAATTTGAACTGTTTTTTGAAAGCAATCGCTGTTTTAGAGGTAACATTACGAAGCGCGTTAGCGCTGCGTCGCTGACCTAACGGATAAACATTGGTATGGAAACCATATAAATGTACATAAAATTTTTACTTATTAACTTCTCTATAAAATATATAATAATTTGATGTGCATATGTCTAATGGTCATTTTTGAGCGCAAAATGGTCGGTCCGATTTCTTTACGATTAGTATAACTTACCCTAAAAGAAATTAATTATAAATATATATATATATATTATTAAAAAAAACAATAAGTACTTTATTTATACATTTTGTACGTTTCAACATTATGTGTGCGCCATGATTTAGGAATTTCATACCAGGATGAACACCAAATGTATGCTACTCTTTGTAATGGGTATGTTTTTCGATTTTGGTTTTAATAAATTATTAATTTTAATAATAAATTCCAGCTTTAGTACACAAAATTTATAATAAATATTTTTCTAATATTTGTGTATTGTTTATTGTTGTGTATTATTTTCTATAATAATTGTGTTAAAGTGAAATGGATGGCCATCAGCATCATTAATATGGTTCATAAAACTGCTCGAAAACTAAAAATTTTTTGTAGGATTATGAACCGTTTGTCGAAGACGCATTTGTAAATATCAATTTAAGGAATTGCAAAATTATAAAATAAATATTTAAAAATATATTTAAAATATTTATTATGATAAAACGTATGTCGTTTTCCGACCAAACGCTTTCCGTCTGAAGCTCTCCGTGCATGGCAGTGTCAGTTGCGTGCCATAAGATGTTAAGTTGACTGACTCCGTTCAGATTCTTAATATAGCATGAGCTTTCTAAAGAAATATCCAATATAAGTACGCAAGTACAGGGATTCGGAAAATTATCAAATATATTACTGAAGAAAAACAAAAATTTACAAAAAAAAAATCAATATAAGAAAATCGACGTCCATCCAAACGACTTAGCCAGCCGAGTGTACTCGTAAAGCCAACCTACCAGACTGTACTTGTATGCTTCCAAATAACCAATATTTGATCTCATTTAGTTACTTTTCTTTTCTTTATTATTGCAATATTTTTCTATACAAATTTTCGTCGATGATTTCTGGAACATGTATCAACGTTTTGAATAATTCAAAAAAAACATTCGATTCGTATTGAGGCAGAAACGTGCTGACTAGTTTTTGGCAAACACTTTCAAATATACGGGGCGAAAAGTGCAAAAATGCAACACATTTTTTAAGAGAAGGAAGCGTCCGATTTGAATAATTCAAAAAACATTTTATTTGTATTGACGAAATGAAAAACTGTATAAATTTTTGGAAAGGCAGATACATCGGTTTCGGAGATCCAGTAAAAAAGTAAAAAAAGGTGTTATTTGGCGGTCAAAAATGATCATTAAACATATGAACATCAAATTATCTATTTTATAAAAAAAATTTAAGTGCAATTTTTGTTTACATTTCTATGTGTTTGTACCAACGTTTATCAGTTAGACCGCAACGCGGCGCGTACGCGCTTCAATCGTCTTTAAAACAGTCGCGCCACGCGATTGCTTTGAAAAAAAGTTCAAAATTAAAAAAAAAATCAAATTCTTCAAAAAGCAATTCAATTCTTATTCAATTCAATTTTTAAATTTAAAAATGATTAAAAATATATTTTTGTAATCAGCAAATAAGCGCATCATTTTTGTCAAAAGTTTTGCAACAATTCGGAAAATTCAAAAAACTGTTTAAAACATATCATTAGGAAATCGTGCTGATTAGTTTCTGTCTGGTCCTTTTTTCGTAATAGTTGAAAAAAATGATAATACTTGGCATAGAGATAGAGATCATTGTCTCAAAGATTATCTTAAACTAGTGGTGTATGGTATCGTGCCTCAAGGCAAATTGCTGGAACTTCCCGCAACGAAATGTTCGAGGAATATTAAATGTTTTCTAATAGATTATTATAAATAATGTAGCATTGTTTATAAGAATTCATTTATAAGAGTTTATTTATAAGAATTATATGAACAGAATTACAAAGTTAAAATTATTTAATTAAAATTTGTAAGTGAGCTTTAGAACTTCAGCCAGAATTAAAATTAAAATTTGAAAAAAAAATTTAAACAACTTTTTTTCCAAAAGCAATTATTTTATCAAAACAAGCAGAAAGTTTTTTAAATAATTCAAATCAGATGCTTAACTCTCTCCAAAACTGCCATTTTTTGTACATTCAGCTCCATATCTTCGAAACGGCTGGACCTGCCTTTGGCAGAAACTAATCACCACTTCTCCCCATCATTACGAATTGAATGTTTTTTAGATTATTCAAATCGGTTGATCCGTCAAATCGGCGACTGAAAACGTGGACGAAAAAATGCGGACATACAAAACACACACACATCCATTTTTTCTGTGGTATGCGAAAATGTTCAGAAACCTTTAAAACGTGAAGATATGCAAAAATTTTCGTTTCCGATTGTCGGCCCATTACTATTACTACCCCAAGGGAAGTTAAAACACCTTTAAAGTCTGAAATAATAGACGCTTAGAATCGCATTGATTAGTTTTTAAATTAAGCTGAAATCTTTAATTTCTTGTATAAATTTTATCATGGCAAGTCGCCAAATTTCAATTCTTCTTGATTCAGTTAATTAGTTACACAAACCGGGAAGTTCATGCTACCTGCCTTAAGACAAAATGCCACTTACACCTAGTTGGAAAAATTAAATAAAAATTATCACCTATTTGGAAAAATTTGGTGGAAAATTCAATTTAATTCTTATATATATAATGAAAAAAAAAATAATTTGGAAAATTGGCAAATTCATTATTGCACGAAAGAAAGTTGGACAACCCCTTAAATATTTTTGACTATTATTGCATAGATATATTTTTTCGATTTTTATTTGATAAACGATTTGATTTTATATCCAGTATGATAATTCTGACTTTAGTAATAGACGGACACATAAATGCAGCGATTTCGAATCGTAAGAAAATTCAAAATCAGATGTAATTTAAAATGAGATGATTTTAGTTCAAAAATTAATTATGATAAATTGATAAAAATGAATCTTAATATAATAAAATAAAATATTTGAAAATATTCCTACAAAAAATACTCTAGTTCAAAAATATTTTAGTACTTTTTACCTTATTAACTTCCCGTAGGGTAAGTTATTGTAATGAGCCGAAAATCGATATTGAATATTTTTACATTTCTCGACGTTTTGAAGGTTTCTGAACATTTTGGTATACCTCAGAAAAAATGGATGTGTGTGTGTGTGTGATACAAGTTTCCAGTCACGTTTTCGAGCGCACGGATCAACCGATTTGAATGGTTCAAAAAACATTCGATTCCTATTGATAGGGAGATGAGCTGATTAGTTTTTGGCAAAGGCATGTCCAGCAGTTACGGAGATAAAGAGCAAAGAGTGCAGAAAATAGAAATCGAGTTTTTGAGAGAACGGAGCATCCGATTTGAATGATCTAAAAAACATTCAATTAGTAATGACTGGGAGAAGTGTTTATTAGATTTTGGCAAAGGTAGGCCCAGCCATTTTGAAGATACGGAGCTAAATGTGCAAAAATGGCAGTTTTTGAGAGAACTAAGCGTCCGATTTAAATGATTCAAAGATCTTTCTGCTTGTCTTAACAAAATAATTGATTTTGGATAAAAACATTTTTGTTTCAACTTTTTTTTTTCAATTATTTTTTTCCAAAAAAAAAAATTGTTTGTATATCGAAAATAATTCAGATTTTATTTTTAATTCTGACTATAGTTCTAATATACTTTAAACAAATAATTTGAACTTTGCAATTCAGTTTATATAATTCTTATAAATATTAGACAATGTTACAATATTAATAATAATCTGTTTCAAAACATTCAGTATTCCTCGAACATTTCGTTACGGTACGGGAAGTTCCGGCAATTTGCCTTAAGGCACGACGACATACACCCAAAATGGTTTATTTTTTTTTACTTTAATATATATTTAATAGAATAATACGGCTCTGATTCAATGATCCGATGAAAAGTTTTGTAATCAAATAGCTGTCAAGCTACAAACCTATCAGTATTTTACAAACCATTTGCAAAATCTTATTATTCGATTTCACAATATGTGTAGATGATAGAATATGTCTATCACGTTGTAGAATTCAATTTTTAAGGGCTATGAAACTTTAACTTTAATAAAACAAAATGGTATATAGCCATGATCTTTGAAGCAAATTTGCTGGAACTTCCTGATTTCCAATAAAACGTGTAAAACTTAATATAAATAATAAATAGTATTAAAATTTCTAGTTCATATAAAAATAGTATGGATCAAAACGAAGAAAAAAACATAATTATTACGTTAAGGGCATATAAAAAAAATTATCTATTTTAAAACTGTGAACTGAGTTTTCAAAATTTAAAACATAGAGCTCATGTATAAAAAATACATAACGGCTGTACCTTCAGTCACCAAATTAAATAATTTTAAACAAAAATTCAAGTCGTACATAGAAATCCTATTTTTAAATTATTCCAAAATAAACAAAAAATCCGATACAAAAAATGCAAACATACAAAGATTTCAAAAAAATGCTATTATTTTTAACAATTTCATTAATTTACACGCGCGAAACATAATTTTAACACTAATTACAGTACCAAAGGGTTAAAAAAAACATACTTATATACATATCAAACTTATGGTTTTCCGTCTTTCTAAAAATTTAATAACCGCGTCCTTAATACAGCTATTAATATTAAAAACAATTAAATTTCTACTAATTCTATCGTAATTATGAATGCTGTATCATATCTAATATTATACTAATCCATCATATCTAATATAAAATAGTAAAAATTTAGTATAATATATCAATATGTGAAAAAATCTATTAGATATAATACATCACATAAACTAATTTTATTTCGATGAACAAGGTTTTGCAAAAATCAGCTGATAAACAAATGTACCACTTAATTTTTGTATTTTCATATTCAATCAAAACATATCTACTCCATTAATAATAATCAGAAAATAATGATGAATGATGAAATTATTTAAAATTAATGATGATAAAAAAACAATTTTAAGAATTTCTAAAACCAATTTATTTTTCAGCATCATTTTCTTCAAAATTAAATCTAAATGTATTTTCTGATGGAGTAAATTTAAAATTATTTGTTTTTGATGTACTTATCGTTTCAGATGGTTCTTCTATTTTTTCAACTGTTCCATCATCAATTGCATCTTCCTTCAATTGAAAATCAAATTTAAAATCACTTGTGCTGGATAGTAGAGCACTTTTTTTGATAAACACCGATGATTTATTTGGTTTATTTTTAAATTTAATTTGTTGAGTAACTGGAAAGAAATTATAAAAAAACATACATTACATTCATATTCTGGTAGTGTGTAAACACTGCACTAATATTAAAAACTCTACTTATAATTGATAAATCATGAGTAGTTAATTATCTAATACTAGTGTTACATATTTCAGTCTTAATTTTTTTTAGTTTCGTTGAATAAAATCTAGCACTATAGTCGAAACAAATTGACTTTATAATATATTTTAAAAGAAGTTTATGTATTTTATGTTTAATTATTAGAGTTTGTCAATACATCTTACAACATCAAATTTAGAATTATACAATATGAAATTATTGTCATATCAATAATAAAGTTTTACAGATTTAAGTAAATTAATAAAAAAAAAATTCTACAGTTTCATCAATATAAGAATCTAAAGAGGATTGAAGCTGGTAAAACTATAATATTTAAAGATAGATTCTACTTAATAGTCGATTTAGTATGACTAATTTGCATCTTGTATAAAATTCACTTCAAAGCCAAAACATTAGTATTTGACAAGAAAAAATATTTGATATATTTAAATTAAATTGGATCAATTGACACGAAAGTAAAAGATAATAACAGTGATTTCTCCTACATTTTAAACTATCAAACATTTAGATTTTTATTCAAATCACATTAAAATAATAAATACTATTTTACTGATCGGCTATCATTAAGAAAAATGAACAAAATGGAATAGTTATATGGACAAAGTGACACAGTGGCCTTATTTAAAAATTGGCTAGTTTTACTAACGTTTCCACAATTGCATAATGTTGAGAAATTCATAATTACAATCTTATCAGATGTTGAAAGTCATTGTCAGTCTAGTCCCAGTAATCCGTTCAAAAGAGAATCGAGTAAAAACCATTATCACCTTCAAATAAACTTCAAAAATTTATTTTGACGGTGATAGCAGTTTTGTCATGTTTTTTGGGAACTTAGTTGATGTTATTTGTAATCATATCTATTAAAATCAATGGACTTATGCTAGTACTAAGATTTTAATCAGTTTTATTACAATTATCAGGTGTTAGATGAAATTTTGATTTTTTGATCATTTTTGTACAATTTCAGACAAAATAGCATGGTACTATTTCGCAAGGACTACAGTTTAATTCATTAGAGGCCAAGCAAAAAATAATTTTAAACCTGCAAAAAGTGATTGATTTCTAACTTTTACTCTTAAATTTTACTTTTAACTTTTCTATGTCTTTTTCCCCTTGGGCTAATGCGTTATATGCTAATGTCCCAAAGAGAACCAAACGATTTAATTGAAAACTGTCTTCTTGAAAATTTGTATCTTAGTATGATGTCCTTACCATAAATGTAATTTTGACCGTACTTTATGTACAAAAAGGTTTTTTAATTAGTTGCATAGATTCTTAATTAAAAGATTATGTTACTGGTTGTCAATAAATCTGTTATGAATAAAGATTATTGAAATTGGTTACCATTAAAAAACAAAACACCATTTAATTTAATCATAATTTCCTACTGGTATAGCTAAATAGTATTATAAAATTGTGCATTAAAAATTACAAAAAAATCTCTACTAAAATATATACTTATATTTATAATTACCTTTTGATAATTTTTTCTCTTCCTCAGCCATTTTTGCCCGATAATCTCCAAATGTGAGATTCATAATCTGCCGTTTCTTTATTATAGGTTGTGAATTATTTTTTAAAACATTCAAGGCTTTTATCGATTCTTTAGCTAAAATAGAAAATGCATTTAATATATATTCGTATATTTTAAAATGACTTGATCAATATACTTACTGCGAGCAGGATTTAACTTATTTTCACCAAGTAAAGTTTCTAGTTGTTGAATACACCAAAGTAATTCAACTTCGAAAGTATTATTTGTGGCATCAGAAGACGTAGGATTTTCATTAACTATTTTCGGAGGCGCTTTTAGTTTAGCATTTGCTTTATTTTTATTCAACTTACTATTTGTTGACATACTTTGAGCCTTGAGTGGGAACTAATATTATTTTATGTAAAATATGAATACAAAAGAAAGTTATGGAATTGATTATCAAATATAAGAATATTTAACTTAATTTATAACTTGGTAATTGAATAAAATATCCAAATAACATGAATTTTATCGAATTTTATCCAATGCATCATGGACACAATTTTTAAATTAACATAACCTCACTTTCTGGCACATGTTAAAAACTGACACATCGAGCTGTCACTTTGACATTGGGCGTGCAACAAATTTAATCATTTTATTAAATACAATTAAATACTTAAACATAAAGAAAAATACAGTATTAAAATATTCCGAGAACAAGAATAAATAATTAAAAATGTTCGAGCCTATTACAGAATTCATTTCGTACTGGTATTTCAGATATTTGCTAGTAACAGAACTATACATGGTCGAAAAATGGGAAAGAGTCAGTATTCGTATCCTTTTTGTAATAATTTCATTGGTAACTTTAACTAACTATTTAAAATAAGTTCTATTAAATAGAAGTAAAACTATTGTGCTAAAAATATGCATTGTGCCACCAGTTAAATTTTATTCTATTGTATCAATATAGAATTCAACTTGTAAATTATTAAACAGTTTGTTTCATACTTGTTATAATAATAGTAAATGGTAGTCTGCCCGAAGGCAGGTCCATAGTGTGAGAGCCACCACAAATAAATGATTCCCTTACTCTTTATCCCATTACCACTATTCCCCCTCCACATTTTTTTTTTATTTCATGTATTTTCCTTTCCGAACTTTTGCTTCCATGTTTCTGATCCTGTGCTTCGGCTTTCAGTTCACTTGCTATACTATTATTTATGTTTATTTTGGATTCCTCACTATAACACGTTAATTGCTATGTCAGTCAAATGTATCAGACGCTAAGAAGTTCTACATGAGCCATGTGTGACATACACAATTTGGTACAAGACCTCGTCAATCACAAATGTTTGGTTAATCACAAACAATATGCATTATGTTTCAAAAGCTCTGCCTATCAAAAACAAAACCTGATAACTTCTTCGCTTACTACAAACAATAAAATGCTATAGCATGTATATGTATACATATACCATTAACAATAAAATGTTACATGATTCCCCACAAAATGTATCCTCAAACATAAATCCTGTTTGGAGGTGTCAGACATATAAAACTAACATAGCTTGTCGAGAACAAAAGTACCATGGCCCATGTAGGAATTTTACTGATATTATCATGGCAATTAATGTGTTAAGATATTAAAATGTAATAATTCCATATAATTTTTGTTGCAGATAAGTAATCTGATGTTTAGAGCAATATGATTGAATTTCTATTTTGTATTTTTAACTATAATTATAAAAGTACTTTACTAGCATACTAATTATATTCTATAATATAATTAACTGAAAAGTACTATTTATAATCATTTAACATTTGTATTAAATCTTACAACTTCATATATTAATCTCATAAGATTCAGATTCAAATTTTAATATAAAATTTTCTACTTTTTCATACTCATTATCATCTTTTTTGTTATTTCTTATGTATTATGTTTAAAACACATTTAATTTTATATAATTACCATTTCTAAAGTATATTGCAACCAACATATATTGCCAGTTATCAATAATAAATAAGAAATAATAAATTTTTAAACCTTTGCACATTCCAAATAGTTCTAATAAAACAAACTTTCATGTGAAATATATAAATTTCTGGTTATATTTCATTCTAAAAATGAATAACTCCTATGATTTCATCTTGTGAATTTTTCAAAAGTTTGTTTCATCTTGTGAATTTTTCAAAAGTTTGTTTTATGCTTCCTGTAACACTATTTTATGACCATTTTAGATTCCTCACATTAAATTGTAATAAAATTTTGCCTATAATTGAACTTCTGTCTTGAATTCACAAATCAAGCTCTTATTTACTTCTGAATCTTCCGAAGGAGTATGAATATCTCTGCATAAATTGTATTCACTAGTATACTCAATAAGAATAGTCACTCCAAATTTATATACATTTGATATTTCTATAACTATTTTTAATGATAATGCTTTAGTCTTTTTTCATATATATAATATATATATATATATATATATATATATATATATATATATATGCATTCATATCTTTTATGATTTCAATTATTTTTACCATATTTTCATCTTTTACTTTTATAATTAAGTTTTTTCATAAAACATTTTAATGATGTTGAGATCTTTAAAACGTCAAGAAATAATCAGCTTTATCATGAATATTACCTGATGTATTTATCCTTAATGCTTCTCATTTAGATATCTTCTTCGTGATTGTGTTTGCTGCTCTATCATACTTCAATAATAATGTTTTTGTGCCGATGAGTTCCAAGATGTTCAATTTTGCACCAGACTTAGCTGATTTGATTCCTGTTGCTAGTTGATAATTTAATATATTATTTTTAGGTCGTTTTTAATATTTAAGAATGGCCTATACACTTAGATTATACATACCTTGCTATGAAACAACCATATATTTCATATAATGTTATGTGCACATAAAAATGTATCATGTTATTTCACAATAAATTAGTAAAATTATACACATTAAATGTTTTTACTCGCATAGATTTTTTTGAATAACAATTTCCTAAAAGTACAAGTTATTTCAAAACAGTTATAGTTAATTCTCGCACACAATTAGTTTTTGTTTTTGTATATGACTTTATAAAAGTGTAGATAGAAAAATATCAGTCAGATAAGTACTTATTGAATCAATTGAATGAAAAACAGTTTTTCAAATACACAAAACAAAATAGCTATTACTTTCATTTTGCAACTAATAAAAATTGTATTACAAATTAATGTTTTCTTCTATTTAACGATCGTAAAGCATTGCTGTACGAATATGTTCTTGAATGTTCAACATCTATGCTAATAATTACGAATAAGTTGTTCTTATTTTTGCAAATTTAAATAAAACAGTGCTCATATAATTTTCATTTCATATTATAATATTTATATAAAAATTATAAGAATAAGAGGTATTTAAATACCTCTGAAATACAGAATTCTGTGCTTCCGCAACTCAATCTTTCATAGAAATAACTATTAAATTGATATTAATATTTGTATATAGAAATTTTTTATTTGTTATTATTATTGATTAACAAATAAGGCACCATTAATTTATTTTATTTAAATTTAAATTTAGCTCAAAAGCATAGTTTTGAGTATACTCAACACATTAACAAAATATAGGCAATAATATTTTTCACTTTGAAGGAAAAAAATTCAGGGCAATTAATTTTATTAAGGACAATTCAAAAGACGTTTTGCTGAAGGATGTTTTATTGCGCTACATAACAAACCAGCAATAGAAAACGCAATAAAATTTCATCCCTTTGCAATACAAAAAGTTGGGTTTTAGAAAATGTTTTGAAACAATTTCACAAAGTTTGTTGGAACAAAGCATAGAAAATATACTTTTAAAAATTAGCGATATTTACCAAAAATTAATCAGCACTATTTTCAACTGATATCTTTTGAACGAACTATTTGCCAACGGATATTTTTGAACGGATTTTGAATTTTCAAAATCAACTTAAGATTTTTGGCTGAATCGTACATCATTGCGAAAACCTTATCATTCTAGTTCTTATGGAGTTTAGTCAAAATCGATTCAGCCGTTTTTGGCAAATCGTCGATAAAAGGTCACATTTTGGCTCACATTACATTATCGTTGCTCATTGTTCTAAAGTTTGATATTTTTTAGAATAAACTACTTATTTTAGGCTCATAATATTTTTTTTTAATTCTTGAAAGACCATAAACCTTATTACAATAAAAATCATCAAAACATTTTTTCCCAACAATAATTCTTGTAAGAACGGCCTCGCAGATCTTTACTAAAAACTATATGTATTCGATCTTTACATCAAATGGCTTTTAAATTTTTGAAATCGGTACAGCCAATTTTAAGAAAAGACGATAAAAGATCAAGAAAATGATTCATATATACATTTTTTTCAATTTTGATCTTAAAGATTCAGGATGACTTGAAACGCCGAGTAAATATAAAATTAGCAAGTTCTATTTTCTGTTGAAAACAAACTTTTTTACAGAAATTTAAAAAAAAAAAAACCATTATCCTGGCAAAGCTTTTAAGGGCGAATGTAATCACATTGCGTTACTTGTCACGTTAAAGTCCCGGTTATAATTAAGTAATAAAAATGATATATGAGATGTTATGACATGCAAGATAAAATTGCATACATTTCAAATCAAATTGAATTGTTCTGCTCTTTGTTTACGGCGAATAACAGAAAATATATGAGCAAATTTATCCTTTAACCATCATTTTTGTTTGGTAATTATGTATTTTGTTATCGGTAATATCGCCAATGTATTAATTGGCCTTGCAGATTTTCAATTTAGATAGTGATAAATGTGTGCCAATACACTGGAAAAACATCACCTCGTTTTGTAATTAAATTATCAATTGATCTTGGTAAGATAAATGCCATAGATGAAATTATTAAAGTGGACATAAAGCCTAGCCTCTCGGTTTAAGTTAACCAGATTCTAATCCAAACCAGATAAATATTAAATGAATATTTGTGAAGTAACCACGCAATGAATTGGATCCTAATCACTAAGTGTGCCCATTTTAATTAAATCCAATTAATCCAAAACCATGTAACGTTCAAAAAACATTTGTAAATTAGCAACATAAAAAAGTTGGATTACCAAGATTTTAATCCAAACCAGGTAATATTCAAATGGCATTTGTAAATTAGCAACTTAAAAAAGTTAGATTAAGAAGATTTTAATCCAAACCAGGTAAAATTCAAATGAACATTTGTAAATTAGCAACACAAAAAAGTTGGATTAACAAGATTTTAATCCAAACCAGGTAAAATTTGAATGAACATTTGTAAATTAGCAACACAAAAAGCTGAATCGTGATCACTTGCTAAGTGATTCCGATTATTCAAAAAGTAACAATAGTCAGTTATTAAATTTATTAGAAAAGAAAATTATTCAGATTGTAATCCAAAATCCAAACCAGGTATCTTCAAAATGAATATTTGTTGATCATCAACATAAACAAGTTGAAATCTAATCACTGGCTCAATGCGATTATCCAAGAAGAAATAATATTCATAAGTGTGGAAATTAATCAGATTAAAATCTAAAACAAGTAAATTGTAAAGAAGATTTGTATATGAATCACACAAACAAGTTAGATTCTAAACATTGCCTAAGAGCATCCGATTATTCAAGAAGTAATAATTAGCGTCAGTTTAAATTATCAGATTGTGAACCAAAACAGGTAAAATTCAAATCAATATTCTGGATTACCACACAAAAAAGTTGGATCCAAATTATTGGCTAAGTTCGTGATTATTGAAGAAGTAATATATTGGGTATCAGTTTAATCAGATTTTAAAACAAACCAGGTAAAATTCAAATAAATGATGGTAGGGTTCATCTTAACAGCATAGAAAATGGATTGTAATCAATGGTCAAGTACTGCCAATATTAAAGAAAGACAAATTTCACCAAATACCAAAAAAAATATTGGTAAATTCACAATCAGCTACTTAATATTACTGTTTGCAATTTGCTGTCCAAGTGCAGATATGTGTTAATAAATAATAAAATAGTAGTCTGCATGAAGACAGGTCATGGTATGAGAGTACAACAAAATTAATGACTTGCCTCCCCTCCCTTATTTATTATTGTAATTAACTAATTAACAACCATTAATCACTTTTTATTATTTTTTATGATATGTGTTATAAAACCAAAATTTAAATGTGCAATTGGGTGGGATTATAGAAGTGTGAACTTTTGAGACTATGACAAAAGTCGAACTTTTGGATCTTAATCTCAATAACATTTGAAAACAAAATAATTAATACGAATATCTCCTATATACAACGTAGAGTTATCGGTAGGAAAGTCGTCTAGAAAAAACATAGTCTCCGGTTCAATCTCAACCTCGGCCAAGCTCGATATCAGGCAGCACGATATCAAATTGGAAATAATATATCTCAAATATAATCTCAAGTGAAAATCGCTTAGACAGGCATTCGCCTTTGATACTCATAACTATTAGATATATTTCTAATATAATTACCACACATATAATAGAAGGGTAAATGCCTCTAATGAAACATTAGGTATTTCAACAGAAACAGGTTATAGGATAAGTAATTCTAAGAAGTTTTGATTGCTGTTGAAACAAAAAATAATAATAATACAAATATCAAATTATCCTGAAGTATCAAATGATTTGATGCATCAGTTGCTTCGGGAGTTATGCGATAAATTTTAATAATACTAATTATATAAAATTTATATAAAAATACTTGATCTCAAAAGTAAAAAAAACTGCATTGATCTGCTATAGTACTGCGCCTGATAAGAAGGAAAATAAACAAATATAAAAATCTTGTCGAACAGAGCAAATTATAAACGAATCTAAAACAATGAGGCAATTGAAATGCAATAATATTTTTCAAAAATGCGATTAGAAAGTTATTTAATAGTAATGAATTTGTCGTTTCTGTACGCTTTGCTGGATGACTTCATCGGGGTGCGAGAACTGCACAAAAGTCAGGCATCATGCACATATGCCATTGCTTCAAGATATTTTCCAAATGGAACTATTATCTATTCAGTATCAGTGAATCCAAATATAACAGATGCTACGACAACTGTCGATTTGAATAGAAGAATTTTAGAAAAACTCCATTCCCGTTTGCAATGGACTATTTCCACAAAATATTCGGTTACGAATCACAGCGATTGGGTTGAACATTTGGACAGAGCTTCTGGATACATCCTCTTAATAAATACGGTAGACGATCTTATGGACAACTTATTTTTGTTAAAGGAACTGCCAACTTGGAATCCTAATTCAAAGTTTATTATTCTTTTAGTGGAAACTGCTGAATATATTTCAGAACTGACCAGTATGGCTATGAGTATATTGTGGGATTACAATATCATAAATGCCTTGATTTTGATACCGGACGAATCAAACAGAACCAGTTTCAGAATAATAACTTGGTTTCCATACGCCAATGGTAGTTGCGGTACTGAACTGACAGATTTTACATATTTAGATACTTGCAACAATGGAAAATTCGCACGGAAAATAAATTTGTATCCCCGTAAAGTACCAGATGACATGAACGGCTGTCCAATTCAAGTTATTACAGTGGTATGGCCACCTTTCATCATACATCCTGGAAATTATTATATTGAAGATGATTCAGATATCCCTTTGACGAATGGTTATGAAATACTGCTCATGAGAGTATTGGAAGAGCACTACAACTGCAAGTTCATTTACCGAAGTTTTTCAAAACCAGAAAATTGGGGAGATGTTATCCGAATAAATCATTCACCGGTCTGTTTCAGTATTTAATGGAACGAAAAGCTGATATTGGAATTGGTGCAATATTTCCTAAATCGATTTTACATGATGAGTTCGACTATTCGATTCAGTATTTTCAAGACCAATATGCGTTGGTTTTACCTTTAGCAGGTTTGGCACCTGGTTGGCAAAATTTTATTGCTATACTCAATCCGACTATGTTATTATCATGCTTCTTTATATTTATTACTACTTCTATGTTTTTCTTCATTGCGGCTAAAGGAAGTCGAGACTTGAAAATATATCAAACTAAAACTGGAGCAAGTTTTGTTGCATTGTCAATTGCTTTAATGAATTGTATGGCAGTCCAACCAAAATATTTTCGACTGAGAATCATATTTATTACATGGTCGTTTTTCAACATTGTCATGAACGCAGTTTTTCAAAGCGGTCTTATCAGAACATACACATATCCCTTGCAGAAATATCAAATAAAAGATGAAATTGAAATAGTGGATGAAGGGCATATCATGGCAGGAACTGATACAATCAAGCATATTTATGGAGATTCGGACGATTTTATTTCCAAGTATATAATGAAGCACTACAAGGAATTGGAATCATTGCAATCTCTTCAATATGTTGCTTATTACAAAAACATCACATCTCTAATCAGCAGAAGCTATTTGTCCTACATTCCAACAAATTTGAGGAAACGTATTTTCATACCCAAGCACAACGTAATATCGCTACCTATAGAAATGTTATTTGTAAAAGGGTTTCCATTTCAGAGAAACTTTAACAGAGTCATCGCGCGATGTCTATCGTCTGGTCTTTTTGAAAGATGGAAATCGCATGTCCGTAACACGTTGCAGACCAACTCTACCGAAGACATAACTGAGAAGGAAAATAAAAAACAAGAAATACACATAAATTTGAGTGATATTAGTAGTGCTTTCGCTCTTCTTATATTTGGATTCATACTATCAATCGCTGCATTTTTATATGAAATCAGAGAGTGTGTGTGTGTAAAAACAACTAGTGATAATTTGAAAAACAAATTAATCAGAAGACCAAGTAGAAGGTTTTCCTTCGTACTGTAGAACGCTCGTCGGCAATGTAAGTAATTAACTTAGTTCAGAGATCATGACAAAAAATTCTTTTGAAGTAAAATTTCTTTAGGCGCCACTAGGGTGTAAATCTGTAAGAATGCAACGGAAATTGCGTTACGCCCGAACTGTACGTCATTCGCTCTCAATGAAATCATTTCAATATGGGTCGATTGTGATTAGTCGTCGTGTATTTGAATAGAGATATGTCGTTGTATGCGTACCGGCATCAACGTTGAATATTTTACCCTGTTTCTTAAAAATAATAAAACAAATTAAACATTTGTGCCGTGTACTAAACGTAAGTTTATTGATTAGAAATGATTTCTATATTATTCCTAGTTTCTATAAATCTTTGAAGTTATTAAAATGTAAAATATTTTTTAGGCAAGACAGATATTACAGCTGTTCAAAGAATGAGATTATATCGCCCGCGAAAAACTAAAAAAAATACAAGCAGTCAATGCATGTATGTTAATTTTAATTACATGAAGTTCTTCAAACACAATTACACGATGGATGAAGTTGCGAAAACAATATTTGTTTGGGCGTTGTTAAACATAATCCACTGTGTGAACGAATTTTATAGAATTTATTAATCAGCAAATACTTCATTTCTCTAATGAAGGTTCATTTCTAAGTGCTAATTAAAATGACAAACTGATCATGTTATATTTGAAGTATGACTTTAATTACATTATTATTTTTAAATATTATAACATATTTTAATGCTATTTTAAATATATAATTTATTATTATATAAATGTGTATAAATATAATAATGGTTGACACTAATAAATGTGTGCATCACGAGTGTTACCATATTACTAATAAACACTATTCAAATTTTTAACTTCCCGTAGGGCAAGTTATAGTAATCGCAAAAAAATCGAAAATGAAAATTTTTGCATTTCTCGACGTTTCAAAGGTTTCTGAATATTTTGGCATACCTTAGAAAAAATGGATGTATGTGTGTGTGTGTGTGTGTATGTATGTGCGGATACAAATTTTCGTCGACGATTTCGGGAACACCGATCAACCGATTTGAATAATTCAAAAAACATTCGATTCGTATTGATAAGGAGACGTGCTGATTAGTTTTTGGCGAAGTCAGGTCTAGCCGTTCCGAAGATAGGGGGCAAAAAGTGCCGAAAACGGTAACTCAGTTTTTAAGAGAATTGATAAGGTGAAGAACCGATCATGCCATTTGGCGGTCAAAAATGATCATTAGACATAATTATGCACATCAAATTATCAGATATTTTATAGAGATTTTAACAATAAGTATAATTTTGGTTTACATTTCTATGGGTTCCGTACCAATGTTTACGCGTTAGACGTCGACGCGGCGCTTACGCGGTTTGATATTTCGTCTTTATGCAGTTAAAGCAGTACGATTGCTTTGAAAAAAAGTTTAGATCTTTCAAAATATGTCAAAATAAAGAAAACATTTTTTTTCCAAAAAAAAAAAATTAAAAAAAAAAATTAAAAAAAATTTTTTTCAAAAAAAGTAACTTTTTGTCTAATCGTTTGTCTAAAATCTTATTTTTTTAAATTAAATTTTTTTCAAAAATGTTAATCGTTTTTAAAAAAATAATAATTTTTGGTACGGGAAGTTCCAGCAATTTGCCTTAAGGCACGATGCCTTAATTGCCTTAAGACAGAATTCCACTTGCAGCTAGTTATATGATGTATTTATTTTTATTTAAATGCCATCTTGTTCAGTGGAAAAAAAAATTTACTTCATTAAATTAAACTTAGCTTTAAGTGCGAAATATAATGTACAATTGTGTGATGCGTAATGTATATAATTGAACCAAATCCTCAGTATTTTGAAGATTTTATATAATAAGATAATGATAACATTAACATACTTTTGCTGGAGAGTTCAATATTTTGCTCTATATAATAAGATATATGCTTCAGAATACTATAATTATGTTTAAGCTTTTGAATATCAAATCTTGTTTATGAAGATTTGATATAAATAAAACACTGCGCATTAATACTTATTAATATTTTTATTTTTTCTTAAAACCAATACAAAATTTAATTGAATGTAAATATTTCAATATAAAATATGTATAAGACAAAAACGTACACTAATTTATTTACTTATATACTATTTAGAGGACCATAAGGATCAGGTTATGGACCTGAATTTATAAAAATCAGACCAAATCATATCACAGTGATTTATTTTCGAATTTATAAAGGTAAATGTCATGTTAATACTCAATAATTTAATTATCGCTTGTAATTAGTAATAAATATTTTTGGCAGAGAAGGTTGATAAGTAGTTTTATTGAATAATTTGTAGAGCATAGATTATTTATATTAAAACTACCTAATAATATATTTAACTTATTGTGATAATCTAATATATGAGATAGATATTATTATGAAATTTTACGCACAGTATTGCTAATACATTTTGGTGGGATGAATATCTTTAGATAATTCAATAAGAAAATTTCATTTTCTTTTGATCATCCTCCTTGACTTCATTGGAGTACCTTTTCAACGTTATTTGGGCCATACGTGGCTTAATGTTGCATTTTTTAGGGAGTTCCGGTAGCTTATTCACAGCATTATCCAGCATGTGACAAATAACAGGAGCTACTCTTTCAAAAACTTGACTTGTAGAGATAGTCCGTGAAATAGGTTGAGAATGCTCATAACTATTCATTTGATTAACGTTTGCTGTAATTTCCTTATGTTTAGTTTCCCAGTCATCTATTCTGCGTCTCAGTTCACCAATTTCATTACTTTGCCTCTTGATTGTTCTGCTTTGTTTAATCAAACGTTTGTTTTGGGTTGCATATAATTCCTTAATCTTTTTAAACTACAACAAGATAATTTAATTATTTCAAAGTCACAATTTTCTTCTATAATTGACGTATCAGCAAAAAAAACAATTTCATAATGATTTCAAAATATGTGACTAAATAATATCCAGTGCGATATGTTTTCATACTCAGTGTGATAAAAAAAGTATTAGTGAAAATAGTGATTTCCGAATAGTGTAACTAGTCGACCTAGAACCTCTTACCAACTTATAAATTGTGTGAGTACATTTTTTAGTATTTCACACTTCAATTAAATTCTATAAATAAAACACTTTTCATATGCCTCTAATATATTAGAATGCTTGTTTAGACGCTGAATTATATCACTATGCAATGTATCATAAAACTAATTTTAACTGATATATTTCGAACAGTTTTTAAATTTTTAAAATTAATTCAGAATTTTTGGCTAAAACTTTGACGAAAATTTTTGCATTCATTGGATAATTGTAAAAAAAAAGATCGGTTCGACCAATAGTCGCACAAAAATAACCAACGCAAATCCATATCGAGTTTCATCAAATGGATATCAAATTTTTGAAACCAGTCATCACAAGAAACATTGATGAAAGGTCAAATATTGACTCACATTCAAATTCATAGTGCTCGACTGATGAATAATGTTGGAGATCCAGAGCAGAACAGAAGGATATCATTGCTCACAGGGCCGGTCCTGGAGTCCTTAGCGCCCGCATGCAACTTTTTTTTAGCGCCCTCCCCCCTATTAATTTTAACTGTTTTAACAGTTTATTATTAAAATTATATAAAAATTACATTTTTTTAAAAATTTATTTTTAATTATTCTGGATTTAGTACACGCGTATAAAATATATTGATTTTAAATTTATTTAGAAAATCTAGGCCATTTGTGGGTTGATTATAATCAAATATTTTTGAATTTTCAATTATTTTTAACATATTGCATTATTAATATTTGGGTTTTGAAACATTTTACTTATTTATTATGCTATTTATTCTATTGAGCAAATCATGCCAAGAAAACTAAAAAAAACTAGCTTTTCATTTTCAATCATAACATTCGTATTTCATGTTGGATTTTTAAAATTTTACGTTAATTCAATTTTTCATTATTTACAATATCCAAAATTGCGTCGTAAACTTCACAATTACAATTAATTTTAGAATATGGACAACACTAGGTATAAAAAAAGCCTTAAGATTCTCGTTCCAAAGTAAATTTTGCTTTCATTTTTCATATTTGTTCTATTTCCATATCCCTAACCACGCATGTCTTTCAAAGTTCATCGAAACATTTGCAACAAAAACAAAAGTATCCCGATTAGTCATTATCCCGATTATAATTTGTTTATATTTTTTAACAAGTTCTGTTTCAACTAAATCAGCTCGCAATTTTGCGTCAATAATGCCCAACAATTAATTTAATCTTTCGCAGGTTTGCGCTTATGGGATTGAACACTAGATAATTTCTTTTTCGATTCCACGGTAACTTCAAACAAAGAAAAAATTGAATAAGTAGAATAAGCAACAAACAGAGCTGTTATTTACTAATTTGCACAGTTATTAATTGGTTAATTGTTTCTACTGATATCACATTGCAAAATAAATATGCCTTTTGTGTCTCTGTATCCCCAGTTAAGTTAGATTGTTTATTATAATTCATCAAGTATTCTAGTTTTTATATGAATAATAAAAAATATAAATAATATATTATAAATTTAATTTCCAAATTTCTTGCATCGCATGCAAGGCAGGACCGGCCCTGATTGCTCATTTCAGTGGTGACTTCGGTGCTGAATATATGATGTATATGGTATATACATCTGGGCCGCTGAACCCAAGACTCAAAATTCATGCAATTAAGATTATGTCGGAACAATATCAATTTAAGAGCAGCTTGCGCCTTTCGCTCAATACAAGAGAAAGCAGTGTACTCTTAGGATTTTATATCAGATAAAAGATAGAAATTTTACCAACAATAAAAATCGTCAACAGAAAACCGTAAGTCTTGAAAAGCTTAGAATAGATAAACCTCACAAGGTAAAGACCGATAGCATCACTAGTAAGTTTGTTCCACAGTGAAGGGAATATGAATGTATTGTCACAGTTTCAAAGCAAAAATCTAAGTTTGGCTGAATCGAAGCCACGGAGAAGTCAATTGTTATTTTTGCACGGCTATTTTCGAGCATATTTACACTGCATTAAGTAAGACGCCGGAGTAGACGATGTTTTGACTTAGGAGATGATGCAGAGATTTAGTGAATAGTGGAATTACACCAGATTTACTAGTGGAACTCCTCATAGACTTCGTTTCATAAAAAGAATAAGATCAAATGACGTCAATTAGGAGAAATAAAAAAATAACACTTTGGTTCCTAGATTCCGCCACAAAGTACATAAGGGAAGTACGGATAATAAATGACATGGCGTTGTTTTTTAATGGTATTATAATTAGTCTCAATTTTTTTTATTCATCCTAAGTTCATTGGCTACCAGTAAAATAGTCTTTTAATTAAGTTGGAACTATAATAACATATTTATTTATAAAAAATGCATTTATACAAAAACCATTTTACCCATATAAAATATATGGCCCATATAATATATAATAATATAGTATGGATAACATGACATAAGGTAAAGACATACTGAGATTCTAATTTTTAAGAAGACCGTTTATAAACTAATCATTTGGTCCTCGCAAGGACATTGGTTTTGTAATAAATGAAGTGTTCTTCTTTTTACCAGTGAATTCTTTGGTCAGTTATTAAAAGTAGTTAGAGTAGAAGTTAAAAGTCAATCACTTTTGACAGGTTTAGATTTTTTTTTCATTGACTGGAATAAACTATCCTATTATGCTGGCGAAATAGAATTATGTAATTTCGTTCAAAAGTTAACAAAAGGGGAATAAATCGTCAAAATTCCATCAAACACCTGATTATTGCAATAAATTTGATCAAAATCACTAAAACTGACTTAAGTTTATCAATTTTAATAATATTTGCAAATTGACCAAAGGTACCAAAAAAACATGATAAATTGACCCTCGAAATAGACTTTTGAAGGCACAATACAAATTTGAAGTGAATGATGCCTAATATCCAACAAGATTGTGATAATGGTTTTCTTCATGTTATACAGTCACAGAAACGTAATTTAATTAACAAACTAGCCATTTTTTAAATAAGGCCAATGTTTCACTTGGTCCATATATACCATTTTGTCCATATTTCGCCTACTTGTAGGAGAGAAAGCTGACACTTTAATCACTCTTAATCAATTGTTATTGCATAATGTATTTTCTCACATCAAAAATTATGAGAAAAAAAATCTGATGATTTCTTTTCAACAACTATCATCAATTTCTTTAAGAATTCAGGAGCAAAAAGGCCAAGAAAGAAGCTGGTCCACTCTTTTGAACATAAGTGATAAGAAACTTTTTTCATGAATAAGTGATGAATATTTTCTATAAAATGTTTTAATTACACATATAATATATTTTATTTCAGAATAAATTTAATTAACTTGCATTCTTATGTAAAAATGCGTTTTTCATAACAAACTTTTCAAATAACAAACTGCCCTCCGGAAAAAATTAAGTACATTAGCAAGATACGAATGTACACATAAATCACGAACATAGATTCAATTGGTTAAAAATAGTATAATCATAAAAATAATTTAGATATTCATAAAAGCTGAAAAAATTACCTGATTTGATAATCCTATGAATTTCTTAGTTAAAGCATCTGTTAATACTTTATCAACAAGGTTCTTATTAAATGCGTTCTTGAAAGGATTAGAATCTTGTGTTTCATAACCCTCTTGAGATGTTGAAGGTAAAGCTGTAAAAATAAATCTTTAATAAAGATGACACAAATACTGACGAGGGACAACATACTACATTTGAATACATACAACGATTTAATACAAATGTGTTTTCCCTTGGAGCATTGTTGGTTTGTGTTGCTTTTAATAGTGGGCATATTTTTTCATCAAAATGTTCTATGGCCATAGATGATATATCCCGAAGTTCTTGTAAAATTTCATGAGCTCTGGGTGGATTATTAGTTAATTCTAAGACTTTCAAAACTCGAAGAACTTCATCTATCACCTTAGGAATAAAAATAAAATTAAAAATATAAAAATAATTTGATTAATAGAATGAAAAATGTAATATTTCTGATACCCCACAGACAGATTTATTGAACACTATTGCTAACTACTGTTATAAAAATATACATAATCATGAATGCAGATGGCAAAAAATTTAGTTAGTCATTAATAATCATGATTGTAATATTAAAAACCAATATCATGAAAATATTAACCAATATTTGACATACAGAGAATTTCATTGGGCAGTCATCTTGATTTTGAAAAAAAATTGAGGCCAAACATCATTTTAGAACTCAAATATTTTTTTTGAAAAACAATAAATAGTAAAAAGAGATAATGAAAGTAAAATAAAATCCATCAAACTCATAATTAGTCAGACTCACAAGCAATAGGTTAATAATATGAATTGAATCCAATCAGATCAAATTGATTTAATTTGGTTCATTTAAACCATTTCACCTGATTCAATTATGATTTGAATATTTATATTATAGTTACCTTTCCAGGTATAAAACAGCATATGTTCTGTTCAATATATTTACTGTATGTCATAGACATCATTGAAATTCTTGTTTCGATTGAGGTCAATATATCACAATGCCTCGACAAGGGATGATACCTACAAAACAATTTATATTAATTTTAACAATTTACACATTAAGAGAGTATAATATAACAGTCTGCAAAACACTAGTCAAAAACTATATATATACTTCAAAGCATTATGAAATTAATTAACTAATTAATGAAAAATTACTACTTCCAAATCTGAATTTGAGATTGTTGGCTAAAATATATTTAAGAACTCAATCGTTAATTGAAATCTAATTAAAATTGTTTTAAATTAAATTCTATAACATAAGTAAGTATTAACAATATATTTTTGAAAAGATATCAACATTCTGAAATTCAATTCATCACAGAAACATACTTAAATCAGATGCAATGGTTTAAAAATTACTAATTACTGCTCAACTAAAAATTTGTTTCAATTTTAATATATGACTAATATGTTTAAAATATCATTTTGTTGTTTTCAAGTGATTCGAATATACACATGTATCATCCATAATATCTCTCTCTTGTATATCGAACAAAATATAATTTACATGTGTTATATATACCGATAAAAGTGACTGAATCACCAATTGGTAAATGAATGAATTTGAGAGTAAATACCAATTGCAAGAATGGCCAATTGTCATAAACTATTATCATAAAAAATTTAATAACTAATCATTAGCTAGTTTTCATGTAAAATGTCGGTTTGATATATAAACCAGTGAAAGAAAAAATTCATTAATGTATCTCGATCCATAAAAATTATGGATATGAACCTTCTTTCGGATTCTCTCCTTGGTAATCTTGCTTTCACATTCTTTAAGAAAGCAGCATGTTTCTTTTCCATTGTTATAAATCCACGATTTAACAACCGTTGTGCAGCCTTATTAAAAGACTTACAGACCTGTTGAAATTGAAATTGGTAAAAAGTTACAATATATGACACAAATTTTTAATGTAATTGTAAATGATAGTTAAAAATTTTATATGAATTGGTTGTAACACGTCATTGCACATTTATTTTGACAAACAAATGTTTACTGTTATTTTCATAACTATATATTGTCAATCATGGATATTACACATAAGTAATTGGTGTCAATGCAATAAAAAAATATAGACAGCTTAGGCAAATATTTTGAATGCAACTGGAGAAAATTATTTTAAAGAAACTGAATTGTTCTTATAATAAAAAAAGACCCTTTATGACTACCACTCAATTCTGAAATCAAAATCAGTGAAAACTTATATCAGGTAATAATTTATGTTTAGTATGTATATAATAATCATTAAAAATATACAAATATATATTTACCAGTCTCATTTTAGATATCTCATCAAATGAAAGGTAACTTAGAATATGTTCCAAGACGATATCTGGGCTTTGTAATATATTCATTCTGTAATTTTATCGTTAATTGCACTAACAAAAACAATTATCAATACAAATATTTGCTATAAAAGTAAATAAGAAATTATAACAGATTCGAATTTACTAGGAGAAGCATAAAAAATAAACAATTTTTATATTTGTTTTAATTATTTTTATGTACTATTATATGATAGACAACATACGTGAAGTATATGCAGAATACAAAGAGGTCAAAGACTAGGCTTACAGAAGTGCCAACTTCATATAAAGTCATCGCGGTGCCAGATGTTAACAACCCATTAATAGTTTCTTCTTCTTGACTATTGCTCGGCGTGTAGGGCAAGTAGGGAGTCCGAAATTACATGAACTTCCCGATATGTGTAAATAATCGACTTAATAATAACAAATAAATTAATTTATGACTGATTAAAAGAATTTCTAGTGGATTTATTATACATGATTGAAAACGAACGAACACGTGAAATCGGAGTATTTTCTGAAAGCAAATTTTCAAAAATCATTAATTTTTATAAGCGAACCAGTTTCCGTTTTGAGAGAACTAAGCTTCTGATTTGAATGATTCAAAAAACTTTCTGCTTGTTTTGACAAAATAATTGCTTTTGGAAAAAAAAATTTTTTTCAAAATTTTTATTTTCTCAAAAAAGTTTTTTTGTATATCGAAAATAATTCCGATTTTAATTGTAATTTTGGCTAAAATTCAGTATTTCAGTTTATATAACTCTTATAAATATTAGACAATATTAAAGTATTTATAATAATCTATATGAAAACATTTAATATTTCTCGAATATATTTCGGTACGGGAAGTTCCAGCAATTTTCCTTAAGGCACGATGCCATACACAACTAGTTTAATTTTAACAAACTTCAAAAAACTACTCATTTTCTCAAACTTTGATGAATTTTTAGAATTAAACTACTTGTCGTAAGACCGTAATATTTCAGTAAGTTCGGTAGATTAAGAGTAGAATTAAAGTCCTACAAAACTGGCTCAATTATAAAAATTATTGATTTTTGAAAATTTGCTTTTAAAAAATACTCCGACCGGGTTGACGTGTTCGATTTTCAATAATGTGTAATAAATCCACTTCGAATACTTTTAACCACTTATAAATTAATTTATCTATCATGGATTAGGTCGATTATTTACGCATATCGGGAAGTTCATGTAATTTGCCTTAAGGCAAAATACCAATACCAACTAGTTTTTACTTTTTTATGGTATCTACGAAAGCGCCTGCCTTTCCAAAAATTTCAGTTCTCATTTCGTCAATACCAATCAAATGTTTTTTGAATCATTCAAATCGGACGATCTCTCAAAAATTGAATTACTATTTCTGGCACTTTTTGCCCCGTACCTCAAAAACGGCATTTAAATCGTCTAATTACAAGAAAACGGCTCGGTAGATTTTCACCTAAAACTAATTAGTATCATTCCCAACTAATATCTTTCGAACGGTTTTTGAATTTTCAAAATCGATTCAGAATAGCGGGCTAAAACGTAGACGAAAAATTTTTCACTTTTCTGCGATTTATAAAGAAACGGCTTGGCCGATCGTCGCGCAAAACTGACAAACAATAGTCCTCATTGAGATATATCGAATGTCTTTTAAATGTTTGAATCGGTCTTTGAGATAACGTCGATTTACGGCAAAAAAATCTGTTCACACACACACATACTTTGGTCTCATTCGATTCAGAATGGCTTGAAACGTCGAGAAAACATAAAATTAGCGATTTGGATTTTTTGATGAAAACATAAACTTTTCCTTCGGGAAGTTGATTAAAAAGCAAAATAATTATTAAATGTACTAGAGTTAACAAAGTAGAATCTGATAAATACATTTTAATCCTAGCAATTTAGTTTTCTCACAATTTATATTCATTTTATATTCAATATATTTTATGTTCCTCTTTGTTTGCGATATATTTGTACTCTTCAATATAAGTTATTTGTTCACTTTTTAATTTTTTGTCATTCCATCGTAAATATAATACTTCTGCGCTTTTCTCTGTTTAGTTTTTAGGTTATTGATTTATTATTAATACATAATTGTAAAATTGTAATACTTATAATTACGTAAATAATTATAACACTTATAAGCATTCCAATTGTTTTGTAAAAGCATGTCTGCGATATATTTACGTTATTGAAAAAAAGAAGTTCACGTTTTCGCAAAAGATTGTTCCAAGTCATTCCGAAAGAAGGAGTATGAGAGCCGACTTTTGACCTTTCGTCGACGTTACTGCTGGACCCATTTCAAGAATTTGAAAGATATTCCATGGCAGAAAAGTGTAAAAATGTTCGTCCACGTTTCAGGCCACAATCTAGAATCGATTTTAAAAATTCAAAAACTGTTAATATTGAAAAATTGTTGAAAAGCGAAAAATATTGGTTGGAAAACGCGTTGATTAGTTTTTAGTGAAAATCACCTGGGACGTTTCTTCATAATTAAAAGCTAAAAAAATGACAATTCTCATGAAATTTTGTATAACGATAGATTTCGTAGCCTGAAATAACATACTAAAATATTAGAAGCCCGCGATAAGCGGTTGAGATAAAGAGTTACATCAAAGCTTAGAATTTTGAAATGTGCTCGAGCGATTCTAGTTGGTATCTATGCCGAAGTATCTGTACGTTTTGTGATATTTTGTAGGCAGTTATTGATTACAGTTAATGTCTATAATTACAATTAATAAAATACATTGTTAAAACTCGAAATGGATGGATTGATGAAATGTATGTGTATGTGATTATATAAGTATGTTTCAAAGATATCAATTAAAAATCATTTTAAATGAAAAAGGAATCCATGTTTTCGAAACAAAAAGTTAAACATTTTATCTAATTCTAATGTTCTAATTCTTACTTTAAGACAAAATGTTACTTACAACTAGTTGAAAATATATTTCGTATTTTAAATATTTTGTTCTCAATACAGGAAGTATTGGCTGTATTATGAAACGAATATCTATGTACAGGAATACCCCGCTCAACGCGGGGTATACGTTCCATGAAAGTAGAGTAAGGGGTTAGGAAAAGACGGCTAGGAAATTGGTTCGGTATTAAATTTAAAATGTATGTTATTTTTACTGAAAATAAAGCTAATCATTTATTTCTTAAAGCCCAAATTAATATCGCATTATTATTTCTTGCAAAAATAAAGACAAAATATAAATAACAAAACAAAGATTCTTGAAAAAACAGATAACATTCTAATTCCATTATATTTAGTTAGCCTTCCGTGTTTTCAGTGATTTGCCGTTTTGGGACAAAAGCATCTAATGTTGTTTCACTTTTTCTTTTGCATTGTTCTCTTAAAAGTTCTTCATAAACGGATGGAGCATCTCTAACACCACGCCTTACTTTAGAGTTCCTGTCAAAATTCGGATCATTTTCAATTATCTAAGTCCATTATTTAAGTTATGGTAACCAACTTTTTTTACAAACACCATCCAAAGTTCTTTTTGTTTTTCCGCTGAATTACTGCTGTCAACATTTTTGTTTTCTTCTTGTTCAGTTCATTCCTTGAGCTCGCCATTATAGTGCAGTAAACGGAGCGTTTTAGGTCTGAATTTTTTTACTGTGCTCCGAATTGAATGAAAATTTGGAATTAGGTTCATCTTACCCTCAAGTTCAAAAGTGAAAACAATTCTGGTTGCGATCGATTTCCGACGTTATTTTGAAAAAATGTAATTACACAATTGAGAAGGGGTGTCATCCCCCCGGGGGGTGATGGCGCAACCCGAATTGTTTTCACTTTTGAACTTGAGGGTAAGATAAACCTAATTCCAAAATTTCATTCAATTCGGAGCACAATAAAAAAAATTCAGAGGTTATACCCTTTTTTCCTCTCCGTTACTGCACTATTAGAAATACTGCGCTGCTTCTTGAATTATTTCTACGACATCTTTCTAATTTATCCCTTCAAAACCTGGGTTGAAATAAAAGAGCGCTAAACCACAACAGCGCTAAACGATACGGCGTTAAACGGGGGTATTACGTAAACAAATCTAGAAGTAATACGAGTGGTTAATTTACTTGAAGTGCATGTGTTGCCATCTATAACTAAAGTGGTAAATTAAAATAAAGGTAAAGTCAAACATAGCGATCTATTTTACTCCCATATCTATGGTTTTAGCAAGGAGTACTGTACATCTTCTTTCACAGATGGCAGCTAGTTCATTGATCGCGTTAAATACAGATGGCTGTGCCCTGTGTATGTCAATATCAACTATAAATCGTTCGCTCAAATTGGGGAAAACCTGTACAGTTTTCAAATATTCGATCGGCATTTGCTTTCGTTTTTGGTTATAAGTTTGTGAACGAGTGTCGTTGGTTATTAACTGTGTTTAAGTAAACATTTATAAAAGAAATTTGGTATGTCGAAGTGTTCCGTGCCAAACTGTCACAACACAAAAAAGACTGAGGGAGTAGGAATGCACATCTTTCCGGCAAAAAATGATCAGGCATGTGTAACGTATTATGTTTATATAATGAAAATGTGTAACGTATAAGGAAAATGTTCTAGATGTTTGCTGTTTGGGTGCGAAGGGCAAATAATCCGCAACTGGACGATTTGACTCCTTTGCATTGTAACACTTCCCGCTATATCTGTGACGCTCATTTCGCAGACATTTGCAAAGTAAACCACCTTGCAAAAAATGCAAGAACAAATTTAAAAATTCATGCACTTCCGACCTTAAATATGCCAGGTATGTTCTATAATGCATTAATAATAGTTTGCTTATGTCAAATTAATATTTGCCTTGGTATTTGAAGGATTCGTTGGGGACCCTTACCTGGAGGCAAACTGTCTCATGGATAAAAAAAGATTTCGTAAGTATAATAATGAAGTTTATATAATGGATTGATGCATAGATTTTAAAAAACTAGTATATTTTTAGAACTTGGTATATCAATTCGAAAAAGTGAAGTTAAGGCAGGGGCATACCGATTGTTGGAGGAAGATGATCCTATCTTAGGTAATTAAATATCAAGTGCAT